GAAGTAAAAAACTATAAAATGTCAAGAACTAACTCAAAATAGTGGGTGAATAACATGAAAAATCATGTGTAAAAATGAACCGAACAATACTCCCCACCATTGTCGAACCGGAACACTTTGATGGATGCTTGGAACTGAGTGGTGATCATAGCATGGAATTCACGGATTGTGGTAGTAACATCACTTTTATGGGTGAGCAAGTACACCCATGTCATGCGGGTGCAGTCATCTATAAATGTAGCAAACCACCTCTTGCCAGTAGAAGAGACTTTAGCAGGGCCCCAAACATCGGAGTGAATCAACTCAAAAGGAAATTCTGTTTTACTATCACTTGATGGAAATACAGTGCGATGGCTCTTGGCCAACACGCATGTTTCACACTTAAACTGAGAATCAACTAAGCCTTGGAATAAAGATGGAAACAACCGTCGAAGGTAGCCAAACGATGGATGTCCTAAGCGACGATGCCATAGCCAAATCTGTTGTTGAGCACGTGAGTTTTGAACATGGACAGCTCGTGGTGGTGATGAGACCGTCAAGGTATACAACCCCCCTCTCCTTTTACCATGCCCAATCGTCTCGTGAGTCGTAAGGTCCTGAAACTTACAATGAGAAGGATAGAATGTGGCATAACAATTATGTGAGTCAAGGAATTTCCCAACAGACAACAAATTGCATTTAATAGAGGGGACAAGTAGTGTATGAGATAAAGATAATTTAGGGGAAAGTGATATAGTCCCTTCTCCAGCAACATTAGAAGAAGCCCCATTGGCACTAGTGATGTAAGGATAATGAGATTTAGGAGATAAGGTGGAAAAAACAGTGGAGTCAAAAGTCATATGATCAGTGGCACCAGTATCAATTATCCATGTAGTAGAGCGTGTACCTGAGTCGGGGTTGGAGTCGGAGAGTAAGGCAGGAGATGGAGACTCACCGGTAGTCATGACATAAGCAGCCTTGGGTGCCATGTTGCGGGTCTTGTGTGAAAGTATGGATACGTAAATGTAGCGGAAGATTTAAAGAACACAATAGGGGTACAACAGAACAAAGTAACCAAAGGGACACAAGTTTGAATTATGTAGGGACAAGGTTATGGAAGATAAGGTTATGCATAGGCACAGCAAGGCAAGGACAAGATTTAAGCAAAGGCAAAGCAATGGCAAGGATAAGGGAAAAACAAAATTACGTAGGGATAAGTATATGCAGCGGAAGGATAAAACAACAAAGGGAACTCAACACAAATTTTGTGTTGGAACAATATAGGAGCAAAGAAGTAAGGGCAAGATTAAGTAGAGGCAAGGTAAGGCAAGAACAAGGTAAGAGCAAGGTAAAACAAGGTTATGCAGAGGCAACCAAAATCGATTGCTCTGATACCATGCCAAACAAAGTGTAGAGATTTGTGTAGAGATAAGCTAGAATATGAGAATGTGAGAATGAGAGAAGATAATTTTCTGGTTTTAGAATTCTTTCTTATGTCTTACATTACTTACAATCAACACATATATATACAAGTTCCTAAGCCCCCCAAGTTAGGCAACCAACCAAGTTAGGCAACCAACCTAGTTAGGCAACCAACCTAGTCAAGCCCCCCAAATATTGTAGGTGCCAAACATAGTAGGTGCCAAACATTAATTGACTACATAATCAACACATTAATTGACTACATAATTAACACATTAATTGACTACATAATTAACAGGAGGTGATTGCTTTCAATATTAACTCGTAATTTCCTATATATTCCATTATTGTTCTTATTCTTTTTTAAATACAATACCAAATTCATTTGCCAGTATTGCCAGATTCATTATTTTATTTTAATCCTATATATATATATATCATATGTGACTTGACTTGAGCAGAGAATAGTTGGCATTCATATCAGTTCATCCACGCGGTATTGTAGTGCGGCTATGTGTACGTGCATTACTATATACCATACTATCATTTGCAATAATTGATTGTAGAATTTAGTAAAAAAAGAAAAAGAAAAAGAAAAAGAAAAGAGAGTTGATGTTTAGTGAAAGTATGCTCAGGCTTTTGGTGCGCTCTCAAGTAGTTCTGGGTTCAAACTTCTATGATATCTATGTGTAATGTGCATGCTAGCCCTATAAAAGCATTTAATTAGCCAACAAATGGAGGGAATATCGGGGTAACAACTTGTGAAAATACATATAACTAATAATTTATATATGTCTTCATTAGGGTTAATGATTGTGAGCTCTACATTTATTCCTAATTAAACCTAACCCGTTGGCTTCCAAAGACCACAAATTGATTAATCAACAAATGATTATAGTATATATCATGCAATTAATATCTTCTTCTTCTTCTGCATCATCTTAGTTGACCAAATTAGTTACATATACTTAAAAAAGAATGAATACTGATATTGAAACAACAAAAGCTTAAATCACAATACATGTAAAAAAGAAGAAGAAACAATGGCATGTTCTTTTATTTATTAAAACAGTTTGCGTGAAATGCTGGAAAACTCCTAGAAGAGAGAGAGAGAGAGAGAGAGAGAGAGAGAGAGAGAGAGAGAGAGAGAGAGAGAGAGAGAGAGAGAGAGAGAGAGAGAGAGAGAGAGAGAGAGAGAGAGAGAGAGAGAGAGAGAGAGAGAGAGAGAGAGAGAGAGAGAGAGAGAGAGAGAGAGAGAGAGAGAGAGAGAGAGAGAGAGAGAGAGAGAGAGAGAGAGAGAGAGAGAGAGAGAGAGAGAGAGAGAGAGAGAGAGAGAGAGAGAGAGAGAGAGAGAGAGAGAGAGAGAGAGAGAGAGAGAGAGAGAGAGAGAGAGAGAGAGAGAGAGAGAGAGAGAGAGAGAGAGAGAGAGAGAGAGAGAGAGAGAGAGAGAGAGAGAGAGAGAGAGAGAGAGAGAGAGAGAGAGAGAGAGAGAGAGAGAGAGAGAGAGAGAGAGAGAGAGAGAGGAAATGCTGGAAAACTCCTAGAAGAGAGAGAGAGAGAGAGAGAGAGAGAGAGAGAGAGAGAGGTGTTTTGATATGCAGGACATGAGCTCCAACCCTTATATTATTATGAGCATATTATCTTATTAGCATAAATCCAAAAGTTTTGAATGGCTATCTCTTGAAGCTACATAAATTTAAATGCAAAACCAACCTGGCAACTCTTCTTAGCTAAACCTATTTCGTATAACTCAGTCCTCACATCACATGGATTCCCATAAAATATTACACATCCCTTTCTCAAACTCCACCCCATGATACTTATATATTAATGTTTTGGACCACAAAAGTATTGCATCAGTTTCTAGCTCTTGTAGATCAAAAGATTTCAGTTTAACCAGTTGAGATTGTAAAATTTTTTAGGGAAATTAATCATGGGGAAGCATGTGAGATGTGGGTTTGGACCAACGAGACCTTGCCAGGCATTTAATTTTAATTAAACACATAATGGATTCAAATAGAAAAAATGAGATGAGATCCCAAGGAACATATAGGCATTGAGCCAAGAGATTAATGGTAGCATTGGTTTGGACAAAGAGGATATAAAAGTTCACGGTTCTAGTCGCCAGTTCCCGGAGGAGAACTTGTTGGGTGAATCCCTCTGGATGGCAGACATTACAAAACTGAAAATGGCTTTCTCTATGCGTTTTGGGGGTTGAGTTTCAATATCATTTGTCAGTGGTGAGTCAACTTTACATTGTCCCAACCTTAATTATTCTTGTTTCACACCGTAAGAATCTCAAATTAATTGACCTTACATTGTCTCAACTTCAATAACAAGTTGTAACTAACTCATATCTAGTTGTATCTCTTCTTAATATTGAAACAAGTTTCAAGTTCGAATATTATCTACTGTTTTAAAAAAAAACTTCGATTCTTGTTGTTTCATTCTTCTAAATGAAATACATGAAATTCAAAAGTAGGCCTAAATTATTGTGAAATTCAAAAGTAGGCCTAAATTATTGACCTTAATATCTCATCCATTGAAATACATGAAATTCAAAAGTAGGCCTAAATTATTGTGAAGCAATGAAGAATAAAACTGATTAGGGATTCGAAATTTTGAACTTTGTTTCATTTTATAGAAAACAACTTAAGAGAATCTAGAAAATGCAACGAGACAGAACACATGATCTTGTCTGGGAGAGTAATTACTCCAAACCACTAGAGTAGTGGGTCCTTTACTACTTTGAGAGTGAGATTTAAACTCTTATTCATGAGTAGAATCACCAATTGTCCACGGGTAATTAAGAGCTTAACAATTTCCAAAGAGACTTTATGCAATCAGCTTTGAGAGCAGTAAACAACCAATTAACTAATTAATACAGAGATTAATTCCTTGATATTCCAAAACATTTTTAATTTACATGGTTTTGGGAATCTAGCTAGCACTATAGCGCATCCTATCTGTCCTGTCCCCATGAGTTGTTAAGAACTCAACATCCAAAAGTTGAGGGCCAGTGGTTTATTTGCTAATTGCTTGGCCCTATTTTCTTATTACCCCATAATGTTTATCATTTTGTCACAACTGATATTGGATTTTTCCTATATATATATATAAACTTTTTCTCTTCTTTGCTTTTTGGATAGCACTGTGTGCCTTTTGTTTGCTTCTTTTGGTGGTGGGATAGGAATTGGTGGGTCCTAGTCCTCAATTCCTGCTTGGTTGCTCTACAGATACTTGACAATCATCTCTCAATTGGCCTTTTCCTCGATCTTGTCTTGTGGTATAAAGTTTCTTTAATCCATCTTTGTACCATTTTATTGTCGGGCACAAAGTTGTTTAGGATATCAATGGTCTAATCTAAGATCCCAATTTTAAATTGTAATTTGTGCTGTGTAAAAACGTCTAAATATATATGAAACTTATTTAAGTTTGTTTGCCTTTGAATTTTAGTCTATAATCTATTAGAAGGGATAAATATATTGGTCAAGAATTGAAATATAGGGTGAAAGAGGATGGGGAATATAACACACAAGAAACTTTTAGTCCACTCGCATATTCAAATGGCAAGAGTACACATACAGAAGGTTAGTTTCAAAAATGAGTTTCATATCGTTGATCTCAAAGTCGAGATCTACCTTCATTAGATGGATGGTACATATAGCAGTACTCATAATTTTCATATGCTTTCCAAAGATATAAAATCAAACGAAATTTTCCGTGTATGTATAATGGATAAGAAATCTAGGTAGAAAAATTAGGTTGATATATCTTGCAATACAAGCTATTCTGTACTTCAATATGTTTCATTTCAGTTTCTACAAAAGTATAATTTACAAGGTTTATACAATTTGAGAAAAAGAGCAAATAAAACTTACAAGAGACATGATCTCTATGGCTAAGCTAGCTCATATTCAATAACCCTATATAACCAGAATTCTTGTACAAAGCTATCCTAGTTAAGCAAAAAATGAAAGCAACAGCAAATTTCCTTTTCCTTCTCTACTGTACGTGTATGTCCCTAATAAGCAACTGGGTGCACTCTATCATCGCGAGGCATATCCACAATAGAAAACGATTCTTCTTTCCCTTTGGAGTTAAAGCTGCTGTCAGATACCTTCATTCGATCACTTCCAAGCATTTGTTGCTGCACCACCAACACTGAGACATCACAATTGGAATCTGAAGATGCCAGCATGTCTCCGATGAACCCGAGTTCCGGAAACTCATTCCATTCTGTGAGTCCCATGAACAACGGTGAATTGCTATCGTGACGTCTCCCAACCAAAATTAGGTCATACAAATTTTCCATTGAATTTGACCTGATCACATTGATCATATCCACACTATCTTTAACATGTTCCTCCTTATAAACATGTTGTTTTCTCCCAGCAATTGCTATCTTACACTTGCTGATTACAACCATATCGAGATCTTTATGCACACTGTGTTTCATATTATGGTCTACCAATCTAACGACCGTGAGGCTGACATTAGGGTGCTCTGCCATGCGCATAGCATATGCCAATGCCTCACGGTCGTCAGGTCCTTCTACAAAGATCATCCCGAAATTGTAGGAAGTTTTGCATGAAAGAGTAACGTTGGTGTTCAAGGTACCACGATCGAGAAGAATCCCAACCGAGCATGGGGAATTTTGAAGAATGTTTCGATTCACAGACCTAATAGGATTATTGTCCAATACCCCTGCGCCACTTAGCTCGTTGAATTGCTTGTGGAATGGGATTAGGACCATGGAAGTCCTCTTCTCCAATGCCAAGGTGCAAACATCATCATGCATTGTGGCATAGGGAGAAATGGCTGTGAAGGCATTCATTATGAGACCACCAGAGCTATGTTCCTCATATAATCTGAAGGCATTCATTATACGATCCGAGTCCTGGGACTCAAAAGTTCTGGCACTCCTTTTCCCTGGCTTATGTGTGATGAGGACTGGGGCAGTTCTGCCAGAGAGTCTGATGAGGTGAACCACATAAAAGCAAATGGGGGTTTTGGGGGTTGGATTTGAGACCTCAAGAAGGTTGATGATGGGAGGGGTGCTGTCTTCTTGGTATATGCAGGCCAGCATTCGAAGCTCGGCGTTGGGCAAGGCATGTTCAATTGTCCTCCTTCGCGTGGTGGACATGTATCTCTTGGATGGATCGTATAGGCATTTCACCACCGGGGTTATGATTGCAGTTGAGACAAGTGCTGATAGAGCCATGATACTAAAGGATTCTTCGTCAATCAACTGGAAACAAATAATTATTAAGCACAAATGAACAAGCATATATATATATATATTTACATGTAAATTATAATTAAAAAGGTGGAGTGGAGATATAATTACTTTGAGGAGCAATCCATGTTGCAAAGTTATAACGTCAATGATGCCTTGAGCACTCATGATGAAGCCTAATGAGAATGCATCAACAGCAGGCATTTTGCAATAGAGTGAAGGCACCACAGTTCCTATGAGCTTACCACAAAAGCTACTCACAGTCAAGAGCTCCACAACCCAAACAGTCTTCATCTTTATCAAAGATAAATTGATCCTTGCAGCACTGAACACAAAGTAGCTCGGCAATAGAATCAAGGAGATATATGAGTCAAGTTTCTCCACCAAAGCTGATCCCAAAGGTGGGCCTTCTGGTACTGCCAGGCCCAAAATCATTGGGCCCAGCATGAAATGCAGGCCCATAACCTCTCCAATGAGAGAACAAGACATAACCATTATAAAGACGTAGCAAATGTAGCTATCTTTAAATGGTTTTCCTTTATGTGTTTGTGCAACCATCCATAACATGATAGGCCTCATAATGTAGACTGTGAGAATAAACATGCAAAACATACTTATCCCCATAAAGGGTAGGCTAAAGTTATTTCTCCCAATTGAGCTTTGCCTTATTGCGAAGGCCAAACTGAGCAAAGCAAAAGAGAGCACCCCACTGACCATTGAAGAAGACACAGCCAATCTGCCAATCTCTGAGTTGAGGAGCTTCAAATCGGCCAAGAGGCACGCAATGACGTGGAAGGAGCTCATGCATTGAAACGCAGCTATGATGATTATGGACTTGTGTAACTCTGGTTCCATCGTGACCGTTCGTTGAAGAACGAAAGCAAACCCCATGTTGAGTATCAGAGGCACAAAGAAAGCAGAGATGCCTATGACCAGGGCTTTCCTTCCTGTTTGTTTGACCACGCTTATATCCATTTTGACTCCCACTAGGAATAGAAACCACATGACACCAAAGAAGGCAAAGGTTTCGCTGATGTAAAAACTTTTCATCGGGAAAACAGTATCTGCAAACACATTGCCTCCTCCTAAGACTGATGGCCCCAATATGATACCTACCTGATATATATATCATCAGTCATCACATATAAAATTGGTTAAGAGAAAAGAGTGTTTTGTAACACGTATCAATTTACATTATCCGGTACATTATGGATATATATTATATTGACATTTGGTACTAGATATTTTGAAATATCAATTGACCAAATATCGAAAATCTACCAGGTATATTGTAGATTGGTACTTGGGAAAATGGTAGTGCCACCATTTTCTCATTCCCAGTTTGTATCACGTACTTTAAAATGGAAAAAAAACCAAAATATTGATTTTGAAATGTAAATAGGATAGGAACGTACGAGCATTTGTGAGGCGAAAGCACTCTCACCAAGAGGGTTGAGAATGAATTGCAAGAAAGAGGTGAGTAAGGCAGATATAGAAAGCTGTACATAGAGAATCGGAGTCGGGAAGTTCAAAGGGTTATCACCAAAAAAGAGACCTTTTGATCTAAACCCTTTATGGGCCTGGCATACCCAGGTGCCATTAGACAATGCTTGTGTTTTATTATTCATTGCTATCGAATCATTCAGAAGCTCAAGGCAGCTTGCAGCCTCACCAAAATGTTATCCAGAGAGAGAGAGAGAGAGATGTAGGCGCACATGCATGCATGGATGAGAGACACACAGAGTGCGTAAAAGCTTGGAGGAAGCAAAGTATGGAGGTGATGGATAGGAGGATGATGCGGGCTGGTCAAACCTTTTAAGTTGGCTCTTTGAGCGTTGCCCTTTATTTGAAGGTCATAAAGACTGTTCACCACAGGTTTGGTTCAAGTAGCATTATTGGGCGTTAGAGGTGGAAAACGTTTCGAATAATATGATTGTGCATAATATATATCAAGGGTGACAACAATTGAATATGAAACTTGAATATGATTATATATACTCAAATCGTAGTTCTGTAAGTTACATGGTAAATTATACCAGTAAAAGAGAGTTTTACCTTTGGGGCAGGTATTATAAAAACGCTCAAATTTTGAATTTGAACAATAATATATATTTTAATAATCATAAGTTACACCAACTAGTGACATATTTCTTTCGAATATTGAAAGAGTCCACAAGTTTGAATCATTCCTCTTCGTTGTAAAATAAAGTGTAAGTCACAATTAACTAATATAATTATTAAAAAGATACAAGATTTTTTATATTTGAAGAATAACCTTCAGGGACCTTCATACCATAGAAAGAAGGCTTAATTACAGTAATGCCCCCTGAAACTTTGGTCAAATCTCACTTTACCCCCCAAACTTAAAATGGCCCACTTTCATCCCTTGACCGAGGTTTGGTAACCCACTTTGCCCCCTGCTGTCAACTCCATCCAAAACTCTGTTAACTTTGATGACATGGCAGTGGTATTTTTTAAAATTATTTTAATTTTTAATTATTAAAATTATTTAATTATATTTTTAATTATTAAAATTATTTAATTATATTTTTATTTATATACAAAATTACAAAAAACACCCCTGCCATGTCATCAAATTTAACAGAGTTTGAATTGAGTTGACGGCAGGGGGCAAAGTGAATTACCAAACCTCGGTCAAGGGATGAAAGTGGGTCATTTTAACTTTGGGGGGGTAAAGTGAGATTTGACCCAAGTTTCAGGGGGCACTACAGTAAATAAGCCTTATTAAAATCTTCAGTGTGATTATCTCACTACAAAAAAAAAGTGGCAATAATTACCATTATGTCACCAAATTTGGTGACAGTTGTGAGGATTACTAAAGGCTTTAGTCACATTTTTTGACTTTTTTGACTTTTTTGGTGACTAATTTTGCTTTTTTTAGTGACTAAACCCTTTTTTTAGGTAAGACCCAAGGGTATCCACCGCCGACAGCAGTGACTAATCCCTTTCGCCGCGAGAGCTCTCCTAATGGAGGTAAACGACTGGCCACGAAATGCGCTCCATTCCCATGGGCGGGGATCGAACCCCTAACCTCATGGTTAAGGAATGAGGTGAGCTACCACCACACCACATCTCATGGTTTAGTGACTAAACCCTTTAGTAACCCCCACAATAGTCACAAAATGTCACCAAATAATGATAACTGTTACCACTTTTTTTTTGTAGTGTCTGTTTCTGTTGTTGCTTAATGTCCAATGTCTTTTTAAAATAAAACCAATGTATCGACATTAAAAAAATAGTTCGGACTTTCAAAATTGTGGTAATCAAAGCAAACATCGACCCTGTGAACTTTACACGAAAGAACATTTGATCGTTAAACCTAGGTCAGATTTTATTTTGTCACCATCCTTTGCTGCTGTACCACAAGAATAGAAGCTCTACAATTGATATCTGGAGATGCAAGCAAGTCCCCTACAGTCCCCAGCTCTGGAATTTCAGTCCATTCTGAAAGCCCTGCAGTCTGAGGGGACTGTACATTATACCTTCTCCCTACTATAATTAGGTCATACTGATCCACAATAGATCGAAGTAATAAAGCTGTCTGAGGCCCATCTTTCACAGCCTCCTCCAAGTACATCACAAACCGCTCATCTACATCATCATCTCTAAAATACTTCAACCCCTCTGTATCAAGATCCCAATCCGAGCCAACAGGTTCATTAGTCCTGGGAACAAGCCGGATCACAGTTAGGCTAATCGTCGAGTCCTTGGCCATTCTTTTGGAAAATGCTAATGCCTCCCTGTCATCTTTACCACCCAAGAAGATTATAGCCACAGAGAAGGATGACTGAGGTGATATAGTGGAGGTGGATCGGCCTAAATGGCTGCGGTCTACAAGGATTCCAACAGAGCATGGGGCTCTATCTAGGACACTACAATTTAGGGCCCTGATGTTGATGTCTTCTGACTCCACAGACCCGTCAGTCGACCATCTCCGGTGAAATGGGAGCACGATTAGGGACACAAGCTTGTCCAATGCAAGGTGGCATATGTCTTCATACATGTATTTTGGTGCAGAGATTGCTGTGAAGAGGCTTAGAGAAACAGCCCCTAGATTTTCCCTTACAAACTGATTGAAGTAAAGAATGACATCGTCTGAGTATGAAACATTGGAGACAGATTTTTTGTGCAATTCGTGGGAGATGAAAATAGGGGAGGCCCTGCCAACTAATTCAATAAGGTGAAGAACATAAACACCAATGGGGTTCTCTTTAGATGGACATGCTGCATCAAGTAGATTGATGACTGCAGGCATATTAGCGGACCTATGAATGCAGGCAAGTATTTTGAGCTCAGCATTGGGTTTCAAATGCATCATATTTCTTTTCTGGTAGCCTGCGTATTTCCTTGAAGGATCATAGAGGAAATTCACCGCGATCGGTACAAGAGTTGCAGTCACTAAAATGCTAGTAATTGCCAAAACATAGGTTGGGTCATTGATGATCTGTGTTTTGAAAAAAAAAAAAAAAAGTATTAGAGACAGTGGTTAATAATGAAAGGGAAAAAACAAAACAAGTATGATTTTGCTCGGAGAGGAATCATAAATATTTTCTTACCACGTTAGCTCGTTACATCATACATATTTACAACAATTGTTGTGTTTAATTATTAACTAGCCTCTCCGCATGCCTGTGAGAGGCTTTTTTTTAAAAAAAATTTTAAATTTATTTTATAATTAAAAAAGATAATGGGTAGTTGTGTTTCATAAAAATAGGATCCATTATCTGATTTTTCTTTTAATTTTATTTTATTTAAGTGAATTTACCATATTATCCTCATTTAATTAATAATTTCAATTATTAATATTTGCATGAACTAAGGACATTTTCTGGTATTTTGAATGTTTTACCATTCTGTGTCTTTTGCTTTATATATATAGATATAGATACAACAATTGTCACATAATGTAGCTAACATGTTTAATCATTAATTACTCTTTTACTGAGTTCTAGAGACAACGTTGGATGGAGAAAAGAGGGAGGGGTACCTGATTGTCTCTGAAATCGGTATAGGAGGCAAGGTTGACAATGCCTTTGCAACTCAAAATGAGAGCAATTGTCAATGCATCACTGAAGGGCATGTTGCAATACAACGGAGCAACAATGGAGGCTAAGAATTTGGTCACAAGAACAAGGACGATAAGGATTCCATTGATTTGCGTGAATGCGTCAGTTTTAAAATAATTAAGCCACGAAAAGTCTACCCTCATGGAACATGTAGTCACAAAGATTGGAAGAAGCACATCGGAGACGAACAAACCGAGGTTGGCTTCAATGGCTGATCCCAATGGTGGTCCCGCTGGGACTGCCAAACCAAGTATAAACGGACCAAAATGAAAACTTTGGCCATACATATGCGAAAGCACCCCAGATGAAAGCACAACGACGATGATGATATTCAGATAGGCTTTTTTGACAGGCCTGTTTTTAGGGGTCTGCCTGATCACCCAGTACATTGCCGGTCTGAGTATGGACGCGACAACAATGATATAGCCAATGCTTGATCCTATGCCGAATATAGTAAATCTTGTCCATTCCTGTTTTACCATTCTAGCTATTGTGCCCACAAATTGCAGGAACACACTACAAATGTCACTGATCAATGCTGCAGACATGCCTAATCTCCCTATCTCCGAATTCAAGATCTTGAGGTCCTCAAGAAGGCAAGCAACAACCGGAAACGGAGTCAAACAATGTGATGCAGTCACAAATGAAAGCTTGAATATTTCTTGTTCGGTTAGGTTAAAGTAAGAAGAGGTGAGCTGTGTTTGGACAAGAATACCGACTACCAAAGGCACCACGACGCAGGCAACACCAGTGCACAAGGCCTTTTGCCCTGTCCTCATTATCATTCCCAAATCCATTTTCACTCCAATGAGAAACATAAAGAGTCCATAGCCAAACTCAGTCAGCACACCAATTATTTCTTGGCTCTGTAGATTAAACAGGTATTGC